CGGGGCTGGAGCTGGGGCCGGGACCGAAGTGGGAACTTCGATCGAAACTGAGGTCGAAGACAAGGTCGGGGCTGGGGCCGAAGCCGCAGCCGAGGTCGGGACCGAGCTCGGGGACAAGGTCGGAGCCGGAGCCGGAGCCGCGCCCGGAGCCGCGCCCGGAGCCGAGGCAGGGGTCACCGCGGGGCTCGAGGCTGCCGGGGCTCCCTGGGCCGAGGCCGAAGGCGCCTGGACCGGCGCCGCCGCAGGAGTCGCGGCCGAAGCGGCGGTCGGCCCGGTGGCCGCCGACGCCCCAGCCCCGCCGGAGGACTTGGCGCCCGGCCCAGCGGCACGGCCCTGCTGCTGCTGCTGCTGCTGCTGCTGCTTGGGGGTGCTGCTGCTGGCGGGCCCGCCGGCAGGGCTGCCGGCGCGCGATTGCGACCGCGGCGTCGACGGCGCCGACAGGGTCCGCAGCCGGCGCCGGTAGATGCCATCCTGGTCGAAGAGGTGCTCGCTCTGCGGGTCGATGGTCCAGAAGGACCCCTTGCCGGGCTCGCCCTCCTCGCGGGCCACCCGCAAGAAGGCCTTGTTGAGGGACAGATTGTGGCGGATGGAATTCTGCCACCCCCCGGGCGAGGTGGAATACCGGTAGAAGGCGTAGTGCTTGGAAATGTGCGCATAAATCCCGGCCAGGGTCATGCGCCGCTCCGGCACCGAGAGAATGGCCCGGGCAATCAGCGACGCATAGGACAAGGGCGGCTTGCGATCCGCGCAATTCCGGAACTCCTCATCCGTGAAGGGGGTCCCGCCCCCGCCGGGAGTGGAGGACCCGGCCGGGCCGCCACCGCCGGAAGACGCCCCGCGCCCGGGAGGAGATGCCACCAGCCCGGCCGCCAGCGCGCCCGGCTGCTGCGACCCGGCCGGGTGCTGCGACCCGGCGGAGGGGCCGCCACTGCCGGCGGGCCCGGCCCCCGCCGACGACTTACCACCGACACCCGAGCTGGGACCGCCGCCGGCCGAGGCAGACGGCGGCTGGCTGCGCACGGTAACCGACTTGGCTGGGCGCCCGGTGGACCGGGCCGCCGCCGTGGCCGCTGCCGCTGGCGATGGCGACATGCCCGAGCCCGAGCCCGAGCCCGAGCCGGTGGCTGTGGTGCTGGCCGCGGCCGGCGAGTCGCCAGAACGGCCGGCCAGTCGCCCGCGGCCGGTGCCGGAGGCCGGGCGCCCGGCGCCGCCACCGCGCTTCCGACCGCCCGCGGTCGGGGTGGCAGCCGCGGCAGACCCGCCACTCGTCGAAGAGGGGATCGTCGGTGCGGAGACCCCGCTGCCGGGCGAGGAGCCCGGGGCGCCGGCCAGGCCGACGGCCGCCCCGCCGGCGGCCGACCCGCCCGTGGGCCCGCCGAGGCCAAGCCCGGCTGCGAAGCCACCGGCCGTCGCGCCGCCACCGGCCCCGGCCCCGGCCAAGGGCATCACATACAGCATGGAGGAAGGATCACCCGCCCCCGAGACCGGGCCGGCCGGCGTGGGGGGCGACGATTGCGAAAGGATTTCCGCGATCTGGGCCAATTGCGACAGGGAATGGGGAGGAGAGGCACCGGGCCCGGCCATGATGGTGGCCGCCGGCGCCGTCGCCGCCGCCGCCGCCGCCGCCGGCGAGGGGGCGCTCGGCGGGACCGGGCTCGCGCCCGCGCCCGCGCCCGCGCCCGACCCCGACAAGCTCGAGTCCCCGGCCGACAGCAGCCCGGCATCGGTCGCGAAGACCAGCCCCGCCTGGTGGCTCGGGCCCGCCGGGCGCAGACCGGCCGCCAGGGGCCCGGCACCCAGCCCGGCCGCCATGTCCGCCGGGATCCACGTACGCCCGGCGGCGCTGGGCCCGGGCACGGTGCCGGCCCCGACCGGGGCCATGACCATCGGCCCCGGGCCGGAGGCCGATGCCGAAGCCGTCGCCATCGACAGGGCCTGCTGCAGGAGGGTCAGCTGCTCGAGGGACAGGCCGCCCCTGGAGGCCTGGCCGTCGGCCAGCATGGCCTGCAGTGCCGACAGCAGGCCAGGGGGCAGGCCGTTCGGCAGCAGGGGCCCCGACGAGGAGCCGCCGCTGGCACCGGCGTCCAGGAAGTTGCCAGGCAGACTGCCCGTCAGGCCAGCCGTGTGCATGGCTGCCTGTGGCAGGGTCGTGAATGCCGGCTGTGGCTGCTGCTGCTGCTGCTGCTGTTGCTGGGGTACGGAGGCGCCAGCCGCAAACAAGAGCCCGTTGACCCCGGACCCAAGGCCGGTCAGTTGGGTCGGAGCCTGAGCCTGTGCCTGCTGCTGCTGCTGCTGTTGCTGTTGCTGTTGTTGCTGCTGTTGCTGTTGTTGCTGCTGCTGCTGTTGCTGTTGGAGGAAGAGCGCCTGCGAGGAAGCCGCATGCTGGGCAGGATGGAGCATCGAATGCATGGAATGCATCGAGTGGGTGTCGACGGACCCCGGCATGCCGGTGGCCATGGCGCTCACAGTGTTGAGCCCCCCGCCGAAGGCAGTGCCATGGCGCGGGATCCCCAGGAAGTCGGCGCCCCCCGGGGCGTTGAGCTCGATGCCGGCGGCCGACAGCATGGCCGCCTGGCTGGCCAGGTCCAGCGACCCGCCATCCATCAGGGAGAAGGCCCCACCCAGCAGGGGGGCCTGTGAGCCGCCGACCCCGCCGACCCCGGCGGGCCCGCCCATCGGGCCGGGCTGCATGCTGGACAGGGACCCGAGGAAGTGCCCGGCGGCAATGGCATCCGAGCCCGGCCCGGCGGCCGAAGCCGGGTGCAGGAACTGCTTGGTCAGGTCGGGCAGGGCCGCGAAGCCCAGCTCCGGCACAAAGTCACTGGCCTGCTGGTGGAGCTGCCGCAGGAGGTCCGGGTGCAGGCCGGTCCCGGTCCCGGTCCCAGAGCCAGAGCCAGACCCAGAGCCAGACCCAGAGCCAGACCCAGAGCCAGAGCCAGAGCCAGAGCCCATGCTCGGGGCCGAGTTGACCGGCACCGCCGAGGCCACCGGCAACGAGAAGGGAGCCCCGGGGACCGGAGACGGGGCCAGCGAATTGGCCGCCGAGCTGGCCGCCGACAGGAGCGTCGCCAGGCCGTCATGCGGGTCGAAGGGCCGGGCGTCACCGGCCGGGCCGCCATCGAACGGGCTGTCCGGGCCGTCCATCTCCGTGTCGGAGGCCATGGTCGGCGAGAGGATCATGGCCAGCTTGGAGGACTTGCGCTGGGGCTGGGGCTGGGGGGGCTGCGCCGCGTGCGGCTGGCCCGGCGACGGGGACCCGGGGGCCGCCGCGGCGCCAGCTGGCCGGGGGCGGCTGGGCCCGCTGCCCTGCGCCTCGGGGCTGGTGGCACGCGAAGCCGCCGCACTCATGCTGGACGTGGCCGCCAGCAGGAGCGACGCCGCGTCAATGAGCGACGTCTCGTACACCGGGTCCGCCTGGATGAGCGGCATCTCGAGCTTGGGATCCTGCGAGCGCATGCCCAAACGGGGCAGAGCAGCCGGGTGGCATCACATGTCGTGACGAGGACCGGGGACCGGGGATCGGGGGGGGGGGAGAGAGAGTGAGCGGGGAGAGGGAGGAACATGCATAGACAGGGAGAAGAGAGAGGGAGAGAAACCGGGGGGGGAGGGGGGTGATGGGGGCAGACGCACGAGCGTGCCGAGGGAGATGCTCGACCGGCGAGTGGGGGCAGGCGTGGCGCCGGCGAAAAACTGGAACTGGTGCGAGCCGACACCGAGAATGTGGCTTTGACTGCAACGGAGGGGAGCGGGGGGGGGGGGGCGGGGGGCGGGCGCGGAGCGTCAGAGGAGCAGGGACAGCAGCAGGGCGCGAAGGCGCGCACAGCACACCAGACCGGCGAGCGAGCGGCAAAGGAGGGGGGGGGGGGGGGGGCAGCACCCCGGCCAGGCACGCACTCCGAGGGCAGCGGCACCAGGGCCGACGAGGGGGGATACACCTGAGAACCGACCTGCACACTGACCGGGCCGAGCACGCGCATCTGCCAGTGCAGGGCCCCGGGCATGCGGACCAGGCGCAGGATGTCCTGGGCCTCGGGCGAGGCCGGGGTCCTGTTGTCGGCCGCGGCCAGCAACAAATCCACCCGGTAGGCGGCCGGGCTGGCCAGGGCCGAGGGCAGCACCGCGGCCGGGGCATCGACAAAGCGCCGGCCGACGGTCACCACATCGCCGGAGATCGGCAGCCGCCAATCCGGCCCGATGAGCAGCGGCCCTGCTGCGAGGGGGATGCCGTGCCGGGCCCGCGCGTGGCCCGGGGAAAGAGGCACAACCGGAGTCAGCGAAGGAAGGCCCCGGGGGGAGGCGAGGAGGAAGAGGCAAGGGGAGCGGGATGCAAGCGCGTGCCATGGCACACGGGGCTCGCGGAACGAACCTTGCTCGGAGGAGCCGCCAGCCAGCCGGGAGGGGCCGCTCACAAAGCGACCCCGGGGCGAGGCGGAGGTCGGCGTCAGGGAGTGTGCCCGGCCGCCGGTTGCCGCCACCGGCGCCGGCCCCGCAGTCGCAGGAGAGGGGGTGCTGTGGCCCTCCTCCTTGGGGGCCGGCGAGCAGGGGCGCGAGTGGACTATGTGCAGGAGGGCCGAGGCGGCGGAGTCGACCTCGGAACCCATGG